GTGCGCCATGCCATGCCACCGCTTGCAGGGGCGAGAAATGGGAATAGGGCTAGCAAAGGGAATTTATGAGCCGACGCGATGATCGGGGGCGCATTTCGCAGAGAAAACCTTACGAAAAGGCCTTTCGAGAAGCCTTTTCGGAAAAGCCCTCCCCAAAAGCTCCTTTCGCCGGGCCGCAGCCGCACATGGCGGATTGCAGGCGATAAATAGCTGCGTTAGCTGTGTGCCGCGAAGGTGCAGTGCGCCGGGTTCCTCGAAGCGCCTGGTAAACAGCGTGCCTTTGCTAAAGACTGCACCATACCATGCAGCACACCCGGTGCCGCGCTTTTGGTTTTAATCGCCAAATTTCAAGTAACAGACACAAGTTGCCCCTCCCTTTTCAAGGAAGGTCTCGGATAGCTTTGAAGATGTATTTTATTTTCGGCGCGATGCACGAGGTGCCGCACGAGGTGCCGCACGAGGTGCCGCACGAGGTGCCGCACGAGGTGCCGCACGAGGTGCCGCACGAAGTGCCGCACGAGGTGCCGCACGAGGTGCCGCACCCACGCCGCGCCCTTGACCGCGTCGACGCACCTCCCTGGCGGCAGGCAGGTACGAGTCTGGAGGGCCCTGCAGCCCTGTCTTTGTCGAGCCATTCCGAAGAATCGCTTGTCCGTCTCTCTCGCATCCCTGCGGGACGCCCCGTGAGTGCAACAGGGACAGAGAAAGAGGAGATGCGGCGACGGGTATTGAGCGCTCGCGCACGCCCCCAAGGCCCCGCCAGCCCTGCCAGCCCCGCCACTCAACACATCCTGACGCCGCCTCAAAGTGACAGCACGCCAAGTTCCCCAAGCACACGGAGACAGCGCGCGCAGGGCCGGACTGGCTAAGTCAGGGCCCCGGTCGCAGTGTGACGTCAAGGGCCCCCTTTTCCGATATGCGTCCATTGTTTTAAATTTACTAGCCAGGGGAGGGTAAGCCGTGTTTGGTGACTTTGGGCGGCCACTGTGTCCAATCTAGTTGACGTAAAAGGATTCCCTCGACGCCCTAGTATTCTTATGACCCTACTCTTTCATGCCCTGTATCGGGAAGACGTTGACCACAACGATTTTGCCTTTGACCGCAACGATTTTGGGACCAAAGTTGGTCAAAAAGCGGTCGAGTCTCGGAAATTTGCTGATTTGCTGACTTTGGGCGGCCACTGTGTCCAATCTAGTTGCCGCAAAAGGCTTCCCTTGACGTTCTAGTATTCTTAAGACCCCACTCTTTCATGCCCTGTATCGGGAAGACGTTGACCACAACGATTTTGCCTTTGACCGCAACGATTTTGGGACCAAAGTTGGTCAAAAAATGCGCTTGATTTGCCGAAATCATGCGTAAAATCGGCAGAAATTTCGTGGAATACCAACAAAATCTCGCGGAATCCGGCATAATTTAGACGCAAAATTCTGCGAAATCTTGAGAAATTTTGAAATGGGTACCCCTTCGATTTAAGTACGTAAATAGTTAAAGACCGCGACTTTGCCGCGGCCAAGAAGGCCCCGCGGTGGAAAGGCCCCGTGGCTCGCGGCCGAAAGGCCCCGCGCTTCGCGCGCGCGCGAGGCCCCGGGCGCGATCGCGCCCCCGCGGCCCGGGCCAGTCCGGGCCTGAGCGCGCGGCCATGAGAGACCGTCTCGCAAATCTTGCGAATGCGGCAACCTTCACGGAAAACCAAGTCGAGAGTCAAATCGGGTCGCTACCCGCCAGCTACCCGCCTTCATTTCTGTTCTGGTGCCTGCGATACCCCGCACCCGAGTCTATATCTCGCCAATGCAGCCCCTATGAGCGCAGTGGCGTGCGTGGTGGCGGTGTTATATTTTCGGGGGTGGTGGTGGGAAGGGGAGGGGTGGGGGGTTTGCGCAGCCGCCTGGAAGGTAGGCAAATTGCGACACATTCCGCCTAAAAGTATACAAAAATTTCTGCGCACGCCACTGCACGTCTCAGTGCGAGAGGGCGCCAGGGGTGATGTGGACGCGGCACAGTGGGCCAGAAGGCCGGTGGAGGCGGCCAAAACGGTAAACGCGTTTGGAGCTCCAGAGTCGCTAAATGGGAATCGAATCGAACGTGTGACCTCACCAATGGATTGCTCTCCGAACGAGGAATCCATTGGTGGGGTAACACGTTCGGTTCGAGCCCTATTTACCGACTCTGGAGCTCAAAACGCGTCTGGAGTTTTGGCCTCAGTGCGCGGGGCCTGTCGCGTCCACTGGGAGTCGGGATATGCGTTGTCGCGCTGGTGTCGCATCGAGCGCGACTGTTTTCGTCTCCACGACTGCATCCGCCAGTGCACTGCCTTGTCTGCGGTCTGACTCCGAACAGAGCTTTCGTCGCTCTGTCTCTCTCGCACTCGTGGGGCGTCCCGCGTGGGTGCGAGAGAGAGCGAGGAAACGAGCCTGCTGGCTTCCTCGCTCGGCCTCGGAACACGCCTCGCTGGCCTGACTGAGTCAGCGGCGACTCAGCGCCGCACAACGTCCAGCATACTGACGTCTCTCTCGCGCCGACAGGCAACGCAGGCAACGCCCCACGAGAGCGAGAGAGACGGGGCGAGAGTCAGTCTGCGGCGTGCCGGGCGACGACCAACAAACCGAGGCGCCACAGAAGGCAGTCCGCGTCCCGAACGCAGTGCAGTGGACGGCACGGCCACCGACCGGCGCGGGGCATTTAAATCCGAGTCTCTGCTGCAAAGGGCCGTACACTCTAAATATGGGGTGCCCAGCAACTGGGCGCCTTTGTCGCCCGCCCCACTTTTTAGAGTGCCAAATGTCGCCCAGTTTCTGGGCACCTTTGTCGCCCAGTCTCGGGGTGGACAAATCATACAGTAACCGGCCTTCTCCCATGGTAGAGCATGCTCAGGTGCCTAGATTCTGGGCACCTTCGGCACCTCAGTCGCTGCTGAGCCATGGGTGAAGGCAGGTTTCTTAATGGTTTGTCCAACCCGAGACTGGGTGACAGAGGTGCCCAGGAACTGGGCGACATTTGGCACCCTAAAAAGTGGGGCGGGCGACAAAGGCGCCCAGTTTCTGGGCACCCTATATTTAGAGTGTAGTAGAGGAAACGCAAGTGCCTTTGTCGCAGCCACCACACTCAGAAGCCGAACCAAAGCAAACAACTGTGTACCGTCGGGGTGGGGCGTGCTACCCAATCCCGTCTCGCCAGGTAAAGAACTTCCATTAACGGCCACCTCACAAATCTCGCGCGCACGCGGCGTGGCGAAGACCCCCTTCTTGAACTCCATCCCCTCCGCCCCTGCCTCCGCGCCCCGCCGCGCCCGCGCGCGATTTGTGGCAGCGCGTTCTGATTTGTGGGGATCATGTCCAGGGCTGGGCCAGACCCGAAGCCGGCCGGCGAGCCACGCAGCAGTCTTTGTGCCGGGCCACGCAACGCAAGTCTTTTCGGATGCTGTCCATCCAGCCAGCCGCTCCGTTTCAGTACGCTGTCCCCTAACGCCCCTGTTTGTGGCCGCAATAGGGTTAAGACCCTTCATCGTCGCGCGAGTTTTGGTACACACTCTGAAAACCTTAGTCCGGCTGACAGCACCTGGTTGGTAATCCAGAAATCCGGGCCAATTTTGTCGAATTGAGGGTTAATCCAGCTGACACAAAATCAAAGCGAGTCGTTACCTCTTCGAAATTCGACTCGATTCGGTTCGATTCGATGCGGGGAGACAGCTGCAGCGAGGCAAGTCTCAGCGAAGAGCGGCACGCTTCCACGCCACTGACAAAGTCCCCACAGTGCCACACGGCCCGCCGCCCGGAGCGACCCACACGACGAGGTCTAGAGTGACTGCGCGACCAATTCAACCCGTTGGGGGCCTGCAGCCTCGGCAGCAGCCTTGCCCCTCGGCATGGCCGCACCATCCTCATTGAAGGGGCTCTTCCCGACATATGTCTTCATAACGGACACGTGCCTCGTGGAAGACGGAAGGGAGAGGTCGAGGGCAATCTATCCAGGATATACTTCCCTTAAAAATGAACAGCGAGAAACGGAATTGGTATTTCATCACGTTCGGCCGCACATTTCAACGGAGAAGAAAGACGGTCACGCGAACGCGGAGATTCCGCCGCCCCTAAAGTTGCCTCTCTCTCTCTCTCTCTTCCCTAACCCTCAAGCGCGCCACCCAAACCGCTTGCGAGGCAACTCTAGCAGCGGAATGCGTTCCAACTTGGTTCGTGGAATGCCCCCTCCTGCTCCAGGACTCCCATCAACAGGTGTGCATCCCCAGGGAATTGGAGGCGAGAGGGGCGCAATGCTGTGGAGGAGGGGGGCTTGTGGCGCCACTGTCAGAAACACGAAACGACAATACACGCAATCGGCAGAAACACTCGTCAGGGGAAGAAAAGACACAGACAGGCATTGGGGAATATTATCGCAGTTGCTGCTGCCTCCTGGCGAGGACCTGAAATGACCGCAATTGGTGAGACACAAATCAGTGACCTGGAAAAGGATAGAAGACAACAGCTATTCTAATAAGCAGTACCAGACATCAGAGGGCACTGAAATATGTACAGCGGAATCAATCCTACAACTTTCAAAAACTTTTCAAAACACACAGGGATGCGGTTGGCAAAGTTAAGGAGCAGGCAAGACGGAAGAAATAAATACATTCGAGGTTCGTAATACAAAGGCACAAACGCATGCACAAAGAGATTCCTCTCAAGTCACAGTTCCTTACATCGACTGGGATACTTTTACAATACAACAGCTATGTCTTTTTTTTAAATCGATTAATCGTCAAAAGTCACACACCGAAAAAAGATACCTAGCAGCAGTATTAAAGGCACTGGCTAATTATCAGGCAGATTAGACATCAGTACATGTTACACATTCAAAAGACGGACAGGAGATTAAAAGATGACAAAGACGGGTCACCAAAGTCATGCAAAACGCAGCGACATCATCGTCACTACTGCGCGGAGTCGTGAGACGCTCGCAGACAGACAAAAGTAGCAGAAAAACAAAAATGAAACAAAAAGACGCTCTACCTGAGCTGTCGAGAATCGGGCAGCGTCTCCAGCACCGCGCGCCACCTGTGGACACAGGGCAGTCTTGCAACTAGTGGATCGGAGGCATCGGGGGCCGGGCAATCGCCCTGCGAGGCGGTCTGAGAGGAAGTCGACGGTATGACAGGTTGGGCCCGCGGTCCAGCGCCCGGACTCCGGCACCCGGACTTTAGCGCCAGCCAGCCGGCCAGTCAGAGGGAGTGGGAGGCAGAGGGGGAGGGGGTACACAACAAACCCGTCTCACCGGCCGACAGGGGCTCCGCAGCCGGCTAGCTCCACCCCACCCCTCCAGAGGCCCTCCAGAGGGTGCGCTAGACACGCCCGTGTCAGATTACGCCGTAACTCTGTGCTACACATTTTAGCACTCCCGGACGACGCGCGACAGGTCACGGGACTGTATATATAAAACTCATCCCCCTCGGCTCCCCTCGCGTGGTCGCCCTCCTCCCACAGCCTCCCTTATTCCTGGACTCCATTCTTCCTAGATTTCCTTTGCTTACCCACCTCCCCTATCCTGTTGCTGGAGTTCTAGTGCCTCCACGATAAAAACAGTTCATGGTTTTCCCAGGTAGCCCACAGTAAAGCCGCATGCAATTTCCACTGAGTTCCTGGAAAAACAAGGAACTGTTTCAACCGTGTACCTTCTTCCACATTCGCTACTATTCCAAAGTTCCTTCTGAAGACTTCGCGCGCTGAAATGAAATTGCCCCTCTTCCTTTGAGAACTTTAAAGGGTCTTTCATTGTTCAGAACAAAACCAGTCCGAATCTTAACAGACAAGTCATTATCATGAACGACGCTAAATATTCGGGAAGCTGATAACAGTGTAGGCCAAAGAGTGCCAAATTTTGATGCCAGGAAACATTTCCAGCGGCAATGATCCTCGGGGATCCTTCACTCAGCGGATATGGCGCGCCATGCAATGCGAAGTGGAGAAGACTCGTCCTGCGAGACGCATTGGTGCTGCGGCCTGTGGCGTGCCTCATCGCTCCGTCTCTCTCGCACCGCGTGCCGAAAGCTCCGTGAGTGCGAGAGAGACAGAGAGCCGCGAGTCTCGCGGGTTCTAGACGGAGCTAATGGTGTGGAAGTTGGGGCGCCCCATAAACCGTGTCTCCCCTGTCCGCCGGCAAGCGAGCCGAACCCCCGCCACCCTCCGCCGCACTCCGATCACCTCAGGAACACACATTTTTCCTCTAAATGATTCAGAGACGGGAGGAAACAACATTCAGTTTCAAGATCGTGCGACGTTAATTTTCATTGTCCTCATTTTTTCAGCAATTTTTGGCCCGTCCCGTGTATTTTTGCTGCAATGATGATGTTTAAGATCAACGAATTTTTATGTTGCAAAATGAAAACAAAGTTAACAAAATTTATGCAAGACTTCGACAAATATCGCACACCTTCCTTTCGAGTTGTGTCCCTCCGCCATGCCAAGAAAACGATATGCACACACAAAAAAGAAACAAAAACCTTGAACGAAAAAAAAAATGTGAAAAGGGTCCCTGCGGGGAATCGAACCCGCGTACTCACCGTGACCGTGTCCTCGAGGCGGCGCTCCCAGTGGTCGGAGCGCTTGAGCAGGGCGTTCCACTGCTCGGCCAGCTTGGTCACCTCCCTGCGGATGCAGCGCGTCAGGTCGCGCGCCTGCTCCTCGGCGGACCGGTAGCCGCGGAAGTCAGCGTCCAGGTCGCGTGCTGGAAAGAGAGAGAGGGATAGTGACTCCCTGGGCGCAGTTTCCCCGCCGCCTGTAAAGCAGGCCCGCGGTTTTGTGGCAGGAGCCCAAGGCAGGAACGCGTAAAGGGAGCCGAGGCCTGCGACAATTCTTGGAGTGCGTTCTTTTCCCACTCACTGCCACCCCAATTTCTATTTTGTAGCGGCATGAGGGAGTCTTACTTGAATCGCCCTCTGCAATCCGGTGCATGCGGGATGATGGCCGCCGGCAGCTAGCCACAGCAGCCAGCCTGGCCCGCCTGGCCCCACACAGTGGGCCAGAAGACCGGTGGAGGCGGCCAAAACTCTAGACGCGTTTTGAGCTGCAGAGTCGCTAAATAGGACTCGAACCGAGCGTGTGACCCCACCAATGGATTGCTCTCAGAACGAGGAATCCATTGGTGGGGTCACACGTTCGGTTCGAGGCCTGTTTAGCCACTCTGGAGCTCAAAACGCGTCTAGAGTTTTGGCCGCTCCACCGGTCTTCTGGCCCACTGTGCCCCAGCTCACCGCAGGCAGGCAGCCGGGCAGCCCACCGCTTGTAATAAGCTGTTTAATCTTTCACAATGCCAATCCCATCCAAAGAGCCCCGGCAAGCGCAAGCCATGGCTCGCCACCCCTACCACTGCTCTGTTGTTCGCGTTGTGGCGGGAGGAGCCGGTGTCGGGACAGTGGCGGAGCGGACGCGCGGCCACCCTACCCGTCCCGGCCGCTGACCGCATAGCCACACATCCTCCGCCATGCATACATTATTCACATGTCTCCGCGCTGGGACCATCGTAACGCTAGGGTGACCACGCGGCCCCGCCCCGCCGCCCCATCCCCTGCTATTACGCGGCGAAACGGTGACCCCCCGGCCCGCCAGACGGCCTCCACGTGGCTCCACGCAGCCCTGCCCAGGCCCTGCCCACCGGGCGAGGCGAGGCGAGGTCGGAGGCGGCCGCACAAACAACGACAAAGTTTCGCCCATCAAATATGTAGCGCCGGTGAAGCTGAGAAGGCCCGGCGCAAAAATCAAGTTTAAAGTTACAGTGTTCCTCCCTGCGACGTGGATCTGTGGGACGGCCGGACAGGCGCCGGAGTGCTGCCGCCTTCGTTCAGAAAATAACGCCGCAGCGGATCCAGAACTAGGAACACACCGCCGAAAAGTTAGAGCTAGTCAGAGCGAAAATAAAGCAAAAAGCGACGGCGAAACGAGGAATTGGCGAGGCGGTCGTTGCGGCCTTGTTAGAGGCTGGCACCTGTTTCCCTTGTCCGCGCCACTGCAGGGCACTGCCCATTATCCACGAGACGCGAGTTCGGAGCACCCAGCCAAGTGCCCCCGTCCCCCGGGTACCGCGGAGTACCTCGGCCCGTAAGTGCTGCCCGGCCGGGGCGGGGCGGCGAAACGCCCCTCTGGATCCTAGGCCGCGAGACGCGAGATCTCCCCCGCCCCTGCTTCAGCCTGTCAATACCCCACCGCGAACCGAAGCGATCTGATCGCATCGGCAGGAGACGGGCGTACACAGTGCTGCCGGCGGACCGTATGCCGCACGGCGGGGTGCATCGCCCTGCGTTCTCTTCCGCCCCGCCCCGCCACGCCCCGCCCCGCCCCACCCCGCCACGCATGCACGGTCCCCTGGGCGTCTGGACCCAGCGCTTTAAATGGGGGTCGGGCAGCCCAGCCCAGCAGACTGATTCCGAGAGTCGTTTTCGTCGCTCTGTCTCCCTCGCACTCAGGAGGCGTTCTTGTGGGTGCGAGAGAGACAGAGCGACGAAAACGACTCTCGGAATCAGTCTGAAGCCAAGCCCGGCCCCGAGCGGCCGTCGCTGGCCTGTGCCCTTGCCGCCTGCGGACGCCCGGGTAGGCCAGCCCGCTCAACGCGCGTGCGCGGTGGACTGCCTACCCGCCGGGCGCTCCCAGCAGCCGGCGGCCGAAACTTCAGACGCGGTTTGAGCTCCGAAGTCGCTAAACACGACTCGAACCGGGCGTGCGGCCTTCCCAATGGATGCCTTGTGTGAAGAGCAATCCATTGCTGGGGTCACACGAGCGGTTCGTGTCGGTTCGTGTAACATTTAGCAACTCTGGAGGTCGAAACGCGTCCGGGATTTTGACCGCCTCCACCGGACTTCTGGCCCACTGTGTGCTCGACTCTGCGGGCAGCAGTGAAGGCCTAGGGGTTGTCTTTGCGTCGGGTGCGGGATAGACGCCCCACCCTGCTCACCTTCGGAGTCGCTGGTGTCCGACAGCGGTGGCTCGTTGGCGATGTACTGCCGCCCGCTCAGCAGGTTGCCCTCGATGACGGGCCTCTTGTCCTGCAGCTGGCGCCGGAACGCGCGGTGGTCGTCCTGGAGGAAGATAAGGCAATTTTCAGATTCGACGCTAGCAGTAACAAGGCGGTTTTCGAAGGGGTTCGTCATTTGGAGAACAGTCAACACCGAAAGCCGCACAGTGAGCCGGTGCAGGCGGTCAAACTCCCGGACGCGTTTTGAGCTCCGGGTCGCTGAATGGGACAAGAAGGGAACAAGCGACCCCACCGTAGGATCGCTCTCCGAACGAGGAACCCATTGGTGGCGTCACACGCTCGGTTCGAGTCCTGTTGAGCGACTGTGGAGCTCATAACGCGTCTTAAGTTTTGGCTGCCAGCGCCGGTCACCAGGCCCGCTGGGGCTGAAGCCAGCTGAAACTCACCTGCTGCTTGCGTAGGGTGGCCAGGTCGCCGGCCAGCGGCTCCAGGCCCGTCAGCTCCGTGTCTTTGCGGATGACCCACTCGATGAGCTCGCGCAGCGACAGCAGCAGCGCGCTCCAGTGCTCCGCGTTGCTCTCCAGCCGGTTCCTTTGGCGGCAAGAGAGGAAAAATAAAAAGAGAGTTTAATTTAGTGATGCAAGACACACGCAGGGACAAAAGGGACGGGAGCAGGGCGAGCCGCCAAAAAAGACGGCGCTGTGTAAACATGCGCGCGGCCGGGGCGCACAGTGGGCCAGAAGACCGGCGGAGGCGGCCAAAACTCAAGACGCGTTTCGAGCTCTAGTGTCGCTATATGGGACTCGAAACGACCGTGTGACCCCACCAATGGATTGCTCTCCGAACGAGGAATCCATTGATGGGCTCACACGTTCGGTTCGAGTCCTGTTTAGCGACTCTGGAGCTCAAAACGCGTCTAGAGTTTTGGCCGCCTCCACCGGTCTTCTGGCCCACTGTGCGGCCGGCGCGGCGACAGCGCGGACGAATCATGTGGCGAGGAGGACGGCAGCTAATTGTGTTAGCCATATGATATGCGGGCGAGCCGGACCGGCCGTTAGGACTGACGACGCCACTCGCTCCGTCTCTCTCGCACCCTCACGGGACGCCGCACGAGTGCGAGAGAGACAGAGCGACGCACTGTTGGGAGGCAGCCCGCGGGCTGGTCGTTCTGCTTCGAGGGCAGCGACTCCGCGCCAGGCGTTCCTCCCACAGTCGGGATTAACTGGTGTACCGCCGACACTACACCACCAAACTTGGACGAGGGTGCAGGCCACTCCGGGTCACAAGCGCACAAACTTAAATTTTCGAATGGTCCCACGACGTTGTCTATTCCAAATTTATATTTAAATTCACAAGTTTAGCTATGAACTAGATAATTGCTGATTTGAACAATTAAATTACGACTACTGCAACCCACCCAACCTCTCCCTACACACGCACGCATCTTCACGTTCCACAAATTAATGACCTATAAAACGTTGTTTGTTTTTTGCTTGTTTTGTTCATTAGTTTTTGTGGTCGCTTTTGCCGGTGTACCTCTGTTTCCCTTATCACCTTCCCTCCCTCCCTCTCTCCCTCCGGTTGCTGCGGGCTCTTGACCCCCTGGCCGGCCGGCCGGCCGATGTAGCGGCGCGCCAACCCCCTCTGCCGGAGCACCACCTGGGGCCGGGGCGCCCCGTTCACACACAAGTTGTTTTCACTTTCCCGACGTAATCGCTGTTTTCCACGACGCCCGACAACGGATAGTGCAGGCGGGCCAATAATTATCGGCTGCACCGCCCAGACGGCCAGGATAAAGGGAGCAGTGCCCCGACAAACTTACTCGGAGCGGCCGAAGAAAAAACAGAGAAATAAAATGAATAAATAGACGAAATTGGGTGAACTGTTTTTGGACCTCGTCGCTGCGGAGTTGAGGGTCTGAGTTTCATCGAGGGAACGGTGGGAAAGAAGGTGAGACGAGATCGGCCGGAGGGAGAACTTGACAGCACGCCCCGAAGCTCGTCTGCAACCGGCTCGGCCCGCGTTGCTGCCATGCAGCCTATCCGGCGGGGCGAGCGGCAGAACAGCGGGACAGGTTTGCTTCTCTGTTTCGCTTGGCGCTGCTGGGCGCTGCTTCTCGCACCGAGTCTGGCCGATTGGCGAGATTGGCCGTGTGTGCAAACACGGGGCCAGCCAGCCCAGCCAGCCAGCACCACACGGTGTGACTACGCGGCCTACGCGGAACGCGGCGCGGAGTGCGACATCCCGGCAATGCACGGCAGCACCCCTTGCGACCCGTCCCCCCGTCCCCTTTCCTCCTCCTTCTCCCTCATCGTCGTCCTCCTTCTCCCTCGTCGTCGTCCTCCTTCTCCCTCGTCGTCCTCCTTCTCCCTCGTCGTCGTCGTCCTCCTTCTCCCTCGTCGTCGTCCTCCTTCTCCCTCGTCGTCGTCGTCCTCCTTCTCCCTCGTCGTCGTCGTCCTTCTTCTCCCTCGTCGCCGTCGTCCTCCTTCTCCTTCGTCGTCGTCCTCCTTCTCCCTTGTCGTCGTCGTCCTCCTGTCGTCATCCTCCTCCCTCGCCGTCGTCGTCGTCGTCCTCCTCCTCCCTCGTCGTCGTCCTCCTCCTTCTCCCTCGTCGTCGTCCTCCTCCTTCTCCCTCGTCGTCGTCCTCCTCCTTCTCCCTCGTCGTCGTCCTCCTCCTTCTCCCTCGTCGTCGTCCTCCTCCTTCTCCCCGTCGTCGTCGTCATCCTCCTCCTCCCTCGTCGTCGTCGTCCTCCTTCTCCCTCGTCGTCATCCTCCTCCCTCGCCGTCGTCGTCCTCCTCCTCCCTCGTCGTCGTCGTCCTCCTTCTCCCTCGTTGTCGTCGTCCTCCTCCCTCGTCGTCGTCGTCCTCCTTCTCCCTCGACGTCGTCCTCCTCCTCCCCGTCGTCGTCCTCGTCCTCCTCCCTCGTCGTCGCCTTCCTCCTCCGAGCCCTTCCCGCCGGCCTCTCCGGCCTCAGTGCTCCAGGCAGCCGGCGACTCTGTCCGTGTGTGACTAGCACCCGCACTGAGTGCCTTGCAGTGCCGTGCAGTGCCGTGCCCGGCCGTGCCCGGCCGTGCCCCCGCATAATGGCCGGCCCACGGTGTAACGGGCCGTGGAGCCCACTGCCAGAGGAACCACAGCGCTGCGTCGTCTCTCTCTCTCTCTCTCTCTCTCTCTCTCTCTCTCTCTCTCTCTCTCTCTCTCTCTCTTCTCTCTCGCACCACTGAGGGACGCCCCGCAAGGGCGAGAGAGACGCGGCGACGAAAGCACTGTTCTTCGGAACCAGCCGGCAGCGTGGGCCCCTAGAGCAGCCCCCATGCGCACGGCGGCACGGCAAGGTGCCGGCCAAAGCCACTGGTCACCATCGTGTTTCACACACGCCCATTCCTTGCGAGGATTGTAGACCGCCATGAGAAAGACGTCTACTGACGTTCTCACTCAACACCAAAAACAACGAAAACTTTGTAACAAGTGCCGTCGATCGTGCCATAAAATTTCGGATAATTTGAACCACATTCACGGGTAATTTTCACCATGTTACAGGAATGTATTCGGCAAATTTTTTAGCATATTGTACACTGAAAAACCAAACGTGGTCTAGACTGTACGAACTGATGCAGTCAAATAGGTGCTATTTTCACTGCATCAGTTGATGTGGTCAAGACCACATTTGGAGTGGTCATTGCATGGAAGGGCAACACCAAACGTTGTCTGGACCACACTAACAGCCAAAATGGCACCCATCTGACCTAGTGGTGCTGTCTTTGGTTTGGTTTGGTTTTTCAGTGAACGATATTGTAGTCTTTCTTAAAGCGTTAGAATGAAAGTTTTCAAGCGAGCAGTCGGTGTTTGCCATTGTGGGAGGGCCACGGCGAGGCCACGGCGTACCTGATGGCCATGCTCTTGCTCTTGAGGTGGCCCCAGCGCGTGTTCATCTCGTCCAGGCGGCGCTGCAGCATCAAGGCGTCGTCCTGCGACGCCAGGCTTCCCAACAGCTGGCGGCCCCGGCCGTTGAGCGACGCGAACACGTCCTGGTGGCCCTCGATCTCGGACTGCAGGTCCTGCAACAGAAGGGGAAGGACGTCAGGCAAACGGCACAACCCGCACAAATAAGGTGCTTTCTATCCCATCATGGATGCGCATGGATGGAGTCAAAATGAACAAAAAATCACACGCTTAAAACCTTACGAAGTATTTTGAGCACACATATAAAAAACTAATTTACTTGGTTATACGAAGAAATAGTTCGTAAATTCCGAAGTCTTTTCTTTGTAAACTTATGTATGCTCAAAATACTTTTTTAATTAAAAAAAACTGCTTTTCTTTGTAAGGCCCAAAATAGTTTGTAAGGTTTTCTCAGTGCAAAGAGTCTGCGGGAATTCAGTGCAGAACAGAAGCAGACCCCACCTCGCGCTTCACAGGTCGTGGTAGCGCCGCCACACAGACCCATCGGCCGCCAGCCGAGTGGTTTCGGAAGGTCGTCTCGTCACTCCCCTCTCTCCACTGCGGGACGCCCCATGAGTGCGACAGAGACATCACTCTTCAGTCTGCAGAACCGACACCCGCAAAGGACGTCTCCGAGATGAGACAGCGCCAACCGTAGGGCAGGAAACTTGGGCAAAGTTATCCGGCAGGAAGCGACCGAGTCCGAACGTCCGAGAGGCGAGAAACAAGGACGGAAATGGGTCAGCCGAGTGGGTTCGGACCAATTCGGACGGGCCTGGGGTAAGGCAGGCAAGCCAGGCCAGCAGAGCGAGGCGCTGTGCCCTAAACCAATCACTTTATCGCCTATTCGTATCCACTAAGAACAGAGTGAACGGGGCGGCCGGCAGAGGCAGGACGAAAATAAGGGCCCGGGCAATTCAAGACGGACACCTCGCGTGGATTCGAGGTGAATCAGGAGCATCGAGAATGGAAGAGTCATGATCAGGACTAAAAATTTTGGGTGAGGAATTCTTTAATACCCAAATTTGGATGAGAAAGCTTTCCTCGCGCAAATTTGAGTGATGATAATATGTAGCTACACGTAGCTATACACGTAGCTGATCCCTCCTCGCCCAAATTCGGGTGATAAAATATACCTTCCCCAATGGGTTTTCATTCTCAGTTTCATTCTCACGTGTAAGCGACATAGATATCACCGTAACAAAACTAAAAGAGGCACTCCAATGGAGAATGTGACGCCGAGGCGTGGCTTTTGGCAGTGTACCCAGCGGCCTGGCCGGGGTGGGTGTGCGGGTGGACCGTTCCGCGCGCAAACAGTGGGGAATAACTCGTCCCTCGCCAACCAAAAAAAAATCCCGTAATGAAAGTAGCACACTTGACGCAGCAGGACCCGCGGCACATTTGCATCCGCACACGGCAGGAGAGGGGAAGAAAGAGTAGAGAGAGAGAGAGTGGCGCTAGTCCGAAATTAGTCAGTCTTCTTCAGACAGGTGGACGCGGAGACCGAAATAATGGCATTGCGGTGGACATTGATTAAATAAATGAGGTGTTATTCATCGTGGAGTAACATTTTCCGAAATTGCAACATTTACAGCGACAATTCCGAACCCACCATCACTGTCTTCAGCAAACGCACACTTGAAGTTCTTTCAAACTATGTTATTGGCCAGATTAGAGGGTAGAAGGGTACCTGGACCAGGCCGTGTCGAGACACGAACCCCATCCCCCGCCATGACTCGATAATGACTCGACTGCTTCGAGTGGCAATTTAGGGGCTCCTCGATGCGGTCGATGTCGTGCTGGCAGCACGGCGCAGCACGGAGCCGCGGGCTGCTCTTAACTGCTAATTTCCCCTCATGAGAAACTAACCTAACCACCCCCTTCCGTCACACCGTCAACCTGCTGCCCTACACAGGGGAAAAAACCAGCTGGGGAAGAGCCTCCATTTTCCGTCGTTTTTTTGCTAAAATTCTTACAGCTACAAAACGTCAAGTTCCGCGCAGAATGAGTTCATAGGTTAGGTGCACTTTTAATGTTTCACTCGCTGCGGTGGTGCGAGTCAACGCCGAGGACCCGTTGGGGCTCAGTCGTACCAGTGAGCACTATGGCCATCCCCTCCGAGCCTCCGCACGACTCTCTGCCTCCCCGCCACCGTGAAGGCTCACTGTGACGCCGAGCCTCAGGCCGAGCCTTAGGCCGAGCGCCGGGCGCGTCAGTGCGTCAGTGACGCAGCCACTGGAAAATTGGTCCCGGCGGCTCGGCAGGCGACGTATCGGCCCAAGTAGTGCGTACCCGACCAATGGGGGGTAAGGTGCGTGCGTGCACTGTAAATGTCTTACGGTGAAAGGCTGCACCAACATATTATGGTGGAGATTTTCTCCATAATACCAACGAAATTCGAGGGACAGTTTGGGGACAGTGAATTCTCAATGGTATGTTATGAAGTCAGCTGCACCACCATAATATGGAATATTTTCACCACAATATGGAGAATCTCATCTGCACAACATTTAGAGTGTGCGGTGCGCCCTGCAAGCAGTCTCTTCTTGTTGGCGAATAATCATCGACACGCACGCAGGAAAACTGAAGACAAATATCAAATGCCGTCCGGCGGAGTTTTTCTCGGCGACAGTTGAATACTAGAGCTTATTGCCTAACTGAAAACTTTAGAGTCCACACTAATGCAACTGATGACTAGAAGAAAAATTCATTCCATGATGAAGCCGAAACAAACAAGATATTTTGGGGCGTGCCCTGTGGTTCCGCAGATCGAATCATCGCATCCGAGCCACCACACGACAAGTGGGTCACCAACGCACGGCCAGGACCATTATTAGCGGCACTCGAACACAGCCCTCCCCTCACACGTCTGTCTGTCTGTCTCTCTCTCTCTCTCTCTCTCTCTCTCTCTCTCTCTCTCGCCCCCTCGGTCTGTCTTTCAGCGATCGGCCGCTCTAGTCCAGTGGGCCCACTCCACAGCCAAAGACCAGAAGGAGGCGGCTCGGGGAAGGGGGGCGCCAAACCGGAGGCTACTTTACTGTTATTTCTTGCCCGGACGGCGCCGTGGGGCCCCGTGCCGCCATCCTGTTGGGGACCGGGCGCGCGTGCGGTGCGTGCCCCCGCCTTGGCCGTCCTTCCCGACGCACAAGCCTTTGACGCCATTCATCAGCAGGTGTACGGCCTGCGAGGGTGTCTCCGAGGGAAGGGGAGGGGGGCATCAAACTTCCAGGGCACGGGCAATGAGGCGCTGCAACATGGATGCCGCGTAATTGCCAAAGAAGGGCACCGCGGTAAAGCCGTACGGCTCATCCAGACGAAATCCTTCTACACGCACCACCGGCACCGGCGATCAAAACGTTAGATGCGTTGATGCGTTTTCCAGACTAAATGGGACTCAAACTGAACTTGTGACCCCAACCAGGGCTTCCTCGTTCGGTAGGATTACATGCTCGGTTCGAGTCCTACTAAGCGACTCTGGAGCTCAAAACACGTGTGGGATTTTGACCGCCTCCACCGGTCTGCTGGCCTACTACGCACCCACGCCAACACACGAAATTCCAGTCAACACCATAGCGATTCCAATGCCCATTCCGCTTTTACAGAAAGGGCGATTCTCGGCTCCAGACCGAGCTTCCTAACGTGAAAAATTCAGCGTGTCTTGGGGGCTAAAGTTGGCGACGCCCGATCGCGGAGCGACGGGGTGGGGGTCGCGGTCGGACGGCGCTTCCGTCATAGTCGACCGACAGTCGAGCACCACCGCAGCGGCCACGGAGGCCGCAGGTCACACAGAGAGGCATGCAGGGGCAAGGGTGGATCATCATCACAGCCCCAATGGCACTCCAGTGAGCAACCCACCCACCCCCACACCTGCAGCGCAGACACCAACCCTCATGCTGCCGGACCACCCCTTTTTCCACCCCTCGTCCGCCCCGACCGCACGCCGCCGTGCCCGCCACGCCCACCACGCACCCTGATCCCCTTGCGCGGCCTTAAACGGTTTAGCCAGGTGAGACTGTCTTAAGTAAATGAGCGACGCAAAACAAATGAATGCAACGGGAGAAAAATTTAATGACATAGCGCGCGCCGCAGAGCGACGACGGCGGGGCAAGGCAACTGGAGGAGAGAGAGAGAGAGAGAGAGAGAGAGAGTGAGAGAGTGAGAGAGTGAGAGAGAGAGAGAGAGAGAGAGAGAGAGCGAGAGAGGGGGGAACACATTTCATTAGCCCGGCTATAGAGATTTATACTACCCGCCACGGCGACGCCCCGCACGCAGCCACTGGGAGGGAAAGAGAGAGTCACTTGCCCTGTGGGTGTGGGTAGAGGGTATTTAAACCAACCCAGGCCGTCGGCAAACAGGCGGTATTGGATGAAGCCGCTTGCGGCAGCACGTCAGCCGGCCGGCGGCACCACCGTCTGTCAGCTGTCTGCCGCGCCTCTGCGCCTGCCGGGGCAAAGCAGGCAGACGGAGCAGACGGAGCCGAGGGCCGAGCCGTGTCGGGCCGCTGTCTAGAAACTTGGGGCGCGGGTGGCAGGCAAAGGCAGAGACAGCAGCGGGGCGACTCTGTGACGCCGTGCGGAATCCCCAGGAACGCGGCCCGTCACGAGCACAACGCGCGGTCGACTGCACTTTCTTTGTCGTGTTTTTGTCTTTCGCTGTGTTGCGGCTGGCCGAGGAGATGAGGGGCATCTTCACCACACCACCAACATACAAGATGAAAAACCATGCTGAACAGAAAAGAAAGCAACGGACCTAACCTTTCTGTGCTGTTATTGTTTTCGGGTCGACCCTCTGCCTCTCTACTTCGAGAATAACACTTCCCTCTGTCAACTCCCCACCCCCTCCCGTCAGATTTCAACTCCCACCCTCCCCTGCCACAGTCCAAAAGCTTTGATTTCTCCGGCGATGTAATGAAATCTGGGAGGACTAAAATAATCGAAATTGCATCTTGCAAGCAGTTCGGAAACAAACCCATCCCCACGACAGTGCAACATTCTGCAGAAGGCTTTGTCGACCGCGCTGCCAGCGGGGTGTCGCTTGGACACAGCAAAGTCGGAGCGCGAAGGGCGCCATCGACGGCTCGTTGGCGCATCCACTGCAAGTAGGGTCTCATTTCCCA